ATAATAATGCATGATCGTACAGTTCCAATCTATGTATACATATATATGATTTTTATTTATTTTTTATTTAGAAAATTTATTTTATTTTATTTAAAAGAAAAAATAAAAAAGAATTTTTTTCTCATTCGATTTCTTTATTTTACCTTTTTTTTTTTTTTTTTTTATTAATATTTTATCAGGATATCTATAAGATTATCATTTAATGGAGTTTACAAGTAATACTTCCTTCTTTTTTTTCTTCTTCTTTCTAAATCAATATACCCGCATGTAGAATTGATATTATAATTTGCAATATATCTTTGCTTTTTTCTTTTTTTCCTTTTTAATTACACACATTATACTCGAAATATCTCGTAAATATCAATACAAAATTATATCGATTTAGATGTTACTATATTATATGTAAAAAAAAGCTGTGTAATAATCGTGTGTATCGATCATCGATAACCACCGTTGTTGCATTTTAATGTTTCAATGAAACCATCGAAAGTTTTAATAATTCCTAATAAGTCTAAAGGAGTATATGGGTGCACATATGTATGTGTGTGAATGTGTGTGTGTGTGTGTTTGTGAACGAGTAGAAAAATAACAAAAATTATTCGAAAAATATCGAAATATTGGACGATTTAAAAAATGTTAATTCCGCTATCGATGGATTAAAAATGAAAAAGAGGAAGAAGAGGAAGAAAAAAAAATCAACAAACAAACAAACAAACAAACAAAAGACAAAAAACAAACAAAAATAAGTAAAACTCGTGAGAGAAATTGAAAAGAAAATATTTCGTAAGATAAAAAGTCCACGCTTATGCGTATTGAAATCTAATATCTATGCACATATGAAAATCGATATGTAGTATATGTTATATATATGCTTTATGTACGAATATCGCACGTTTTTTTTTTGTCTCTCTCTTTTTTTCTTCTTCTTTCCTTTCCCTTCCTCAGATATCACCATGTATAAAGTGACAGTCAAATTGTGAAAAGGAGGAAGAATATTTACGTGGTTTCTCTTGAAAAAAAAAAAAAAGAAAAAAAAAAGAAAAAAGGAAAAAAAAGAAAACAAAGGAGATAACACACATCGGGCTTTTTTTATCGATTCGATCAAAACAACGTCATATTGTACATATGTACATATACAAACAAACGCGGTTCGATTTTTCATACATGAAATATTATTTTTATCCAACATCGAATATGTCCAAGTATAAATATGGGTGTTAATAACGATAAACGAGATAATCTAAAAATAAAATTTCGTTTCGATATCACTTTGATAATGGAAAAATAAATTAGACTCTTGGAATATTGAAAAATACGATCGATACAATATATCGTAGCCATTTTATAACTCATATATATATATATATATATATATACACATATGAACATAGATGCACACACACTTATATATATATATATATATATATATATATATATATATATATGTAAGTGTTACAAATGTGTATATGATAAGTTTATGTATTATATATTCGTATGTACGTTGGGAAGAATAATAAGAAGAAAAAGAAAAGAAAGGAAAGGAGAAAAAAAAGAATAAAAAAAAAGAATAAAAAAAAGAAAGAAAGAAAAAAAAAGAGATAAAAGAAGATAATCGAACCATCGACGTAATTTTTTTTTAATGCGCGTCAGCGTAACAAGAACACGGGAAAAATCGTATTTTTAGATGACGTTAGGTGAACTTAACTTTTTTTATCCATTTACAAAACATAATTTAGTATTAGAAATATCGTGTGGAAAAAAATCATTGATATTGTTATACGATATTAGAAATATAAATTGTTGAAATTATTTATATATATTAATATATACACGCAATACACACACACACACACACACATATATATATATATATGTGGTTTTTTTATAAAATTTTTCCTTAAAAAAATTTTTCTATCTCCGTTTCTTTTCTAAAACTTTAGAATTACGACATTTTTATCATCATTTTATTTCCCCTCCTTTACTTTCTCTTTTTTCTTTTTCTTATCCAATATTATTCTAAAGAATAAAAAGAATCTATTTTTATTACATCTATTTCTCTCTTACTCTCTCTCTCTCTCTCTCTCCTTCTCTCTCTCTCTTTTTTTTTATTTTCTTTCTTCTTTTTTTTTTTTTTTAACTTAAAACTTTGAAACGCAGTGCGATAAAATATATATATATATATATTTTTTTTTTGTTCCCGTTTCCTTTCTTGCCATTAAACTTTAAAAAAAATTGTCGTCGCCATTTATTTTCATAAATCCCTATTATTTTCCTTTTTATATCTATCGTTTGATATTATTCATATTTTAATTTTTTTCTCGTTTCTTTTTATAGTAACAATTTTTTATATACACTCTTTCCTAATAAATTTCTCTTTCTCTTTCTCTCTCTCTCTCTCATTCTCTCTCTCTCTCTCTCTCTCTCTCTCATTCTCTCTCTCTCTCTCTCTCTCTCTCTCTCTCTCTCTCTCTCTAAAGATTTAAATTAACTCAGCTTTATT